AGGCTTTTCTTAATTTTAGCATCTTTGGGCATTTGGAGAGGATGAGAATTTTCAAACTATTAAGTCCGGCCTCATTTTCCCTTAACAGTTCTTTCTTCAATCCTTCTCTTTCCTCTCACCTTCCACTGTGCGCAGCAAGAAGAAACCAGGAGGCCCCGCCCGCGCTTTGTTTGGCAATCTCCTTTGTTAGATCACCCCGCTCATCAGTCACAGGCCCTGCCTCCCACAGAACTGCTGAGGGGCCCCTGAGTTTCTGTCACTACACAACAAGGTTCTAGTAATACGCCCCTCACTCCCTTTGTGCCTTCAGCGGCAGCATCCTCCACATCCAGGTTTCTACGACTAGCCCGTTAAACAGGATCTTGGCCTTGTCTCTCATGTTCCTCAGAGTCCTTCCAGGCTCCACCTACTGCTTGGTTCCAAAGCCACTCCCGCATATTTAGGTATTTGTTACAGCAGCACCCCATCCCTGGTACCAAAATATTAGTTAGCTATTGTTGCATAATAAATCACCACAAACCTCAGCAGCATAAAACCATGTGTTTAAAAAAAAAACCCCAAACAGACAGATTATTAACCTCACAGTTTCTCAGGGGCAGGATCCTGGGTGTGCCGTGGCTGGGTCCCCTGGCTCAGCGTCTCCCACAGGCTGTAATTAACGTGTCAGCTGGGCTGTGTCCTCATCTCAAGGCTCAACTGGGGAAGGACCGTTCAGGTGGCAGGATTCGATGAGTTACTTATTGAATCCTGCTGGACGAAGGGTCTCCATCCTTCCGGGCTGTTGGACTACAGGTCTCCATTCCTTCCTCCCTCTGTTCCTTATACCTGAGCCTCTCCATAGGGCAGCTCAAAACACGGCAGCTGCTTCCATCAGAGCGGGCAAGCCAAGAAGAGCCAGAGAAAGAGTGCGAACGAGACAAAAGCCGCTCGTCTGATTTGGAAGCGACATTCCCTCACTTCCGTCATATTCTTTTGATCTGAAGCGAGTTGCTAGGTCCAGTCCACATTTAAGGGGGGCATTTTGCACAGTGTGTGACTACGGGGGGTGGGGGGGAGAGAAGGGGGGTGTTGGGATCATTGGCAGTTACCTCAGAACCTGCCCAATCACCAAGCAATTAAGTAAAAAAATAATAAGGCGTTTTGCTTAGTGGTTTTTCCAGATGATAAAATTAATCCAGTTCTTAAACTGCTCTGAGCTTGCCAGCAGAACAACTTGCTGGGTGACCTAAGACAAGTTACTCTCCTCCTCTGGGCCGCAGTGTCTTTATCAATAAAATGAAGCAGCTAAATTAGCTTATCTCAAAGATCCCTTCCAGCTGGACTAAACATCTGTTATATAATAAATGGATTTATTTAAAAATTCATAAAAACCTCTAAAAAAACGTAATAAAGTAAGAGAATATGAATTAGACAAAGATCACCTCGGAAAACGGAACACAAACCTGAAAGGTGCAGAGGCTTTTGAAGATGCCGGAGCCGAGCCCCCAACTCGGCCCGGAGGCCTGTCTTGGGAGGAAAGACACCAGAGTGGGGTCCTGCTCTGGGCTCCCCTCCACGTGGGCCAAGTTGGTTCCCTTCACGTGAGCTTGAATGACCAGCTGGAAAAATAGACAACATCTTTTTTTAAAGATATTTTTATTGATTTCAGAGAGGAAGGGAGAGGGATAGAGGGAGAAACATCAATGATGAGAGAGAATCATTAATAGGCCCCCTCCTGCATGCCCCCTGCTGGGGACCGAGCCCACAACCCAGGCATGTGCCCTTGGCTGGAATCGAACCCAGGACCCTTCAGTCTGCAGGCTGACACTCTATCCACTGAGCCAAACCAGCCAGGGCAAATGGACAAAATCCTATTTGCAGGGAGGCAAATAGTCGCCAGCGTGGGGAACCTGGGGCAGCACCCGCAGCCAGGGGAGTGTTGGTGGTGCAGATGGGGGAGGAGGAGGAGGAGGCGGAGCCTAGGTCTCAGGCTGCCTGAGGAAGGCCTTGGGCACTCGCTGGTAGGGGGGCACCAGGGCTTCTAGAAAGAGCAGAGCCCGCAGGGGTTCAGGGGGCAGGCCCAGTGCCAGGGGCGATGGCTGGATGGGGCAGGGGACCCCCCGAGTGCCAAGGAGCACTGGAAGCAGCAGCCTGGAGGAGCCTCTGGTTGGGGTTGGGCACATGGTCACGGGTCTCCCTGTTCCGCTCTCACGAAGCCTCTGTGACATCTGAGACGACTGACAGGTTGTTTCTCTGTCTACAGGATTAAGTTTGGAATAAGACATCATGGAGCTGAGCCATCGAGCAGGTAGTACGGGCCGAGCAGGGACGCACGGACCGGGGACACTCAGTGCAAACCCAGGGCTTTGAGAGGAACTCCCCAGGGGCAGCAGGGACCACCCCTTCCTCTCCCTCGGTCTTGCTCTGGCCTCCAGACCCTCTGTGGGGCCCGGCCTCCTTGGGCATTCCTTGAAGACAGAAGGAAAAAAGAAGGGAAGGGATACCCCTGCACCCGGCCTCAATCTCCCCGTGAGCAGGAGGAGGGGCCACGGTTGAAGGGTGGATGCTGAGTGCTCTCTGCCTCCACTCCTTTCCAGAAGGGTCCCCATCCCCACCCTGGAAGCCTTGGTTTCCCCGGAGGTGCCCCTGGCTGAGCTGCCTGCGCCTTGGGGATGGGAGAGGAGGGGAGGGGAGGCACCTGGCCTCCTCTTAGACTTGAGTGCAGTATTACTCAAGGTCTGAGGCCCCCACAGCCACCTACTCGTCCCCTCACTCACGAGGGACTCCACCTACTTCTGACGCACAGGGCTCTCTGGTGGGTGCTGGGGGGGGCATCCAGAACTGACTCACCGTGGACCCCACCTTCATGACTGCCCCCCATGAGGAGGAGAAACAAGAGGGTTTGGAGCTCACAGGGATGGAGAAAGGGAAACCCAGGATGAGAAACGGGGGGCAGGAGGGGTGGAGATTGGCGGAGCGTGCTGGGGACAGAGTTGTGGAATTGAGAGGAGGGAGCTGGTCCCCCAGGTTGGCAGCTTGGGGTGGCTGAGGCTGCAGTGAAAGGAAGGGCAGAATTTTGAGGGAGGAGGAGGAGTGGGGGTGGGGGCTTCTAGGTGGCAGAACCAGGCTGGGCAAATGCTGGGAGGTGGGACATCCCAGGCTGTTGTGGAGATGGGAGAAGAGAACGAAGAGGAGACGTCACAGGCTGGGAGCACTTTCTCTAACCTCATCTCCTTCCATCCTTTCTTTCAATTTATGGTTGGAACACATCATAATTCCCCAACTTGTACACTATTTCAAGACTCTGGGGTCTTGCTTGGACTGCTCTGTGTCCAAGTAGAGTGGGGGTAACACTAGGTTGGGCTGAGAGCACCCGATTAGCCCAGAGAACAGAGGAGGGAAGTGCGGGTTGGGGAGCAGCTCAGAATGGGGGACAAAGACCGGGGCCCAGACCCAGCTCTGGTCCGTGCCAGCCGCCAGCCGTGGGACTTGGCCAAGCCAAGTGATGCCCTGTGCCGGCTTCCAGGGCTGCAGCCCCCATGGTCAAAATCCACGTGGGACGACCCTGTCCCATGGGAGGCTGGCAGCTGAACAACCTTCTCTCTTTGTCTCTTTCCACGTTTCTCACCCATGCTCCTGGCTCCCTGACCTCTCCGTTCCCACCCCTTTTTCTCCTCTGGGGCTCTGGGGCTCTGGGGCTGTCTGTGCCCCCTCCCCGGCCCCACTGCTGTCTCCCGTCCTGCCTCCCACTCTGCGTTTGTCTGCTGTCTCCTCTCTCTCTCTCCCACCCTCCCTCCCTCTTCCCTCTTTTCAGGCACAACCACTTTGAAAAGGGCCCATCTGGATAGCAAGGAAGGCCAGCAGGACACGGACCCCAGGAGAACTGCCCACAGCCCCGTGGAGACCTCCAAGTTCAAGTGCCAGACCCCAGTCTCCCCGCAGGCCTCCCTGAACCAAGAAGGGAGCCCCCGAGGCAGCCCCCAGGGGCAGGCCTACCCGGAGGGGAAACTGTCTCCATGCTCAGCCGTCAGCAAGGACTCCCCTGGGATGGACTCACGGCCTGGGTCCGTGAAGAAGGGGGACAACAGAGTCTCCCCAAGGGAGAGCAGTGTCACTTTCCAAGAGGGGGCTCAGCCATGCGAGGGGCTGAAGGAAGGCCCCAACTCCGGGGCCGAGGGCCAGAAGAGCAGCGTCATCCCTGACAACATTCGCCACAAGTTTGGGAGCGATGTGGTGGACCAGCTGGTCTCCGAGGAGCAGGTGCCAGCACGGGGCCCAGGAGGCCCAGGGCAGCAGGAGGGTGGTTCAGGGAGACTTACAACGAGACCCCACAGGAGCCCACTCTTGAGAACAGAGTTCCTGTAATGATGTCCCCAGGAAGCAGTGTTTACTGAGCACTTACTATGTGCCAGGCCCTGTGTACTGTGTAAACGCTTCACATATAACAACTCAGAAAGCTCCCATTATCCCCATCTTAAGGGGAAGGGGCCCCAGGCTCGGGCAGGGCTAGGAAAGCTCATCAAACGTACCCAGCTGTGTAGGATGAGCACCTGAAATGGGCCAGCAGATTCTGGAGCCCAAGTCCTCAATGCCGCTGCAGGAATAAGTTGTAGGTTTGAATTAGAGACTTTTAACTCACACGGATCCAAAGGGGACAGCATTGAATAGACAGCTCTGACGGGGAGTCAGGAGGCCTGGGTTTGAGTCCCGGCTCTGCCAGGAGTGCTGGGTGGCTTTGAATAAGTTCCTTCCCCTCTCTGGGCTTTAGTCGCTACACCTGTAAAGTGAAGCAGTTGGACTGGGTCCCGCTGGCAAATACCTGGCGTGCATCCCACGGCGCTCCTGGTCTGGTGCATGGCAGACATCATTAATCAA